ACCAAGTGACTCCCACTTTCTTTTTTTTTCCTCGAAACAACATTTTTTTTTTCTCCCGGCCCGCGACCGCGCTCTCCTGGGCTACGACCTCTTTTTGTGGACCAAAATACAACGTGTTTTTTTCAAAACACCCCCCCCCCCCCCCCCCCGTGTTCATATTGATCAATGCCCACCCAGCCCCGCGTTCATCGTAAGCAAACGAAAAAGCATTTCTGGCGATAAGTTTATTTTCCTCCCCAAATATTTTTGGAATTGTAAGTTGCTTTCAATTTTTCCGCTTTTTACGCCTCATCTCCATCCTCCCATAATACACTCCTCTCCTTTTGTTTACCAATTGCCTTGTTTTCAATCTTTCTTCCGACTTACAAGACTTAACAATCGCCCTAAGAGAATAATGCTTATGCAAATTTGGAGATGGACAAACGGAATTTATTCAGTATGGGACGATGTCAGTGGTACTGCCTGATTCTCAGACATCCGAGGTCGTTCGCGGTCCCTTTGCTCAGCTTTCCCTCTCCCGCCTGATATACTAGGGACCTTACGATCCGACAAGCCGACGTCCATGAAAACGTCGCTGAAAAACAGACTGCGCATCCTTTTAAACGTTTTCGCGATTATCCCAATTCGCCCTGTTACCTAAAAGAAGAGAATTTTGGTTGGAGCTGAAGAGAGCGGACCGCGCCTGAGTTCAAACAGAGACGGTAAGATATATCGCCTTGCCGTTCCCGTTCACAAATAAACTTAAAATCTGGTCATTTCACCTCGTGCTTGTGCAGGGACAGCGAAGAAATGTACAAAAAAGCGTGACGCACATGCAGAGTTGTTGTTTTACTCATTAAACCTAGTCCTTTTTTGGCGTTCTCCTTGCCGCCGTCGTCGTTGTTTCAGAAGGTCCCTACTCTTTACGGGAGAGGGAGATAAGCGAAAGGACCGCGAACGACCTCGGAAGTCTGAGAATCAGGCTATGTCAGTGGTGGCAACTTGCTAGTTCGTCCATGAAGTAACTGTGATCTCTTGGTCGGAAACCAGCAAGTCTACACTCAAAACTCAGAACCCCGTTTTCATAAAACTTCAGTTTCGAGGGCGTTTTAACCTTCGTTTCCGAGCGTGCACACAACGCCGAAACGCACAAAAATGTATGTGCTTTTAAACAAAAACGCATTGATGTGGAAGGTTTGATCTATAATAGTGCGAAAGAGGACGCAGGAACTTTCGGAGCAAAATGAAG